GGGGGGCTGCGTTGATGTATCTCCATGACTTTCAAAGCTTCCTGTGGAGCATCTTTTCTTGGATGCCACGGCGGGAAATGGATTCTGCAGATAGGCCTCAAAGGGTCGGGGAGACTCATTGATTCGTAAGTCTGGAGTATCCAGACGGGGATCGGGCGGTAGCTTGACGGACGTTGCCGGAGAATTCATTAGGGTTTTGAATATTTAAGCCTTATTGTGCGATATTAATAGTAATAAAGCCTTTCTTATTTCTCACGAGAGGGGACAAAGGGCTCTATTATTGTATTAGCAACCAAATATTTGTACAACTTAAATAATATTGTTCTCACCATTATTACTTGCTAAAAAACAAACGTGTCTGGGCCCAGGATTTTTTCAGATGATAAGCTCAATTGATGCTAGATCTATAGAATTCTGTACATCTTAGTGGGGTTCTCACCCATTATTACTTTACTGAAAAAACAAATGTATACAAAATCTGGGACCATAAATTATGTAAGATGATAAGCTCAATTGATATATTAATTGTTTTTATGACACATCAAATTAAGGTGGATTATTTAGACTATTTGATCTATATAAAGTATCATATTCATCAGTACACAGCTTGTTCTTATGGACTATATCATTGATGAATATTATAGGATATGCATGAAAATTTGAGACAAATTAATTATAGATGTATGTTGGTAAAGCCGCTTTGGCAACAATTATACTACTTTCTTGCAACAATTATAATAATTATGAACGGGGAACACTGTATTTTTTCCACTGCGAATGTGTGTTATTCACTGATGCATTTCTCATGGCCAGAAGCAAAAAGAGTAACACTTGTTAGAACTAAAGAATCAATACCTAGTCAATCCACAAAGTACCCAAATTACATGGTCCTTAATTTGATCTACCAAATGATCCCGAGTGGATCATCTCAGAAAACAATCTAAAAAAAAAGTCGAAATCGAAGTCAATCTTCAAAAGTACCAAAAATTACATGGTCGTTAATGATTTGTTCGTGCATGATTTGTATTCACCTTTGTTCGTGCATGATTTGTATTGGCTGGTCGAATTGCAGTGGGGGATCAGATACGTGGTGAGCAAGCAGTGTAAAGCTCGGGTGATCTGCACATACGGGCCAAAACACGAAAAGCATCTCAAAACCAAAAGAATTTTACTACATCACAAAATGAAAAATTCAACTTGATTAGAGTATTGTGTCCGCACTCACATGTCCAAGTACTTTGGGCACGAGGGGCTATAGACATGCCTGCAAAAATGTTCGAATACTCGGTAATATCTAGACGAGTGAATAGATTGACCTCAAAACAACAACAATTTAACTATTGAGTTTGAGATGTTTTTTAAGTCTATTAAAATAACAAAATGAAGTTCAAGTAATTTACCTGCTTGGACTGTAACTTGGACTTGATGGAGAATACGATGGTGATGTAGGTGAATAAGAAGGGGACGTCGGGCTGCAAAACGGCACAGATCACACAAAACAAATCACAATGTATGTTGAGTTCTCTGAAAAGCAACTCAAACAAAGCACTTCATGAAAATTAAGCAACAATATCATGAAAATAAAGCAACAAAAGTTTTAGGTATTTCATAGAAATTATTATCTTTGCCTCTAAATTATTCAAACATTCTTATAGACCTTTACCCAAGCATGAGCCAGAGATTATAGCACATTGGAGTCACAAAGACATATACCAACAGTACCTGTAACCTGGAGAGGAGGGGCTGTATGAACTGAAAGGCGTATCAATCTTGGGGCTTGTAGGTGAATATTCAAGAGAAGGGCTGTATTTTGCCGAGGGATCATAACTTGGAGATGTCGGACTATAGTGGGGTGACGTAGGACTGTACCTAGGTGACGTGGGTGAATATTCAAGAGAAGGGGTGTATTTTGCCGAGGGATCGTAACTTGGAGATGTCGGACTATAGTGGGGTGACGTAGGACTGTACCTAGGTGATGGGGTGTAACCAGGAAAGGTAGTGGAAGGTGAGGTTGGGGAGGAAGATGGAGAAATCTGGCTACACCATGGTGAAGTCGGGCTATAAGCAGTAGGCAATGTCGGTCTAAATTCAGAAGTTATTGGGGTATAGCTAGGAGAGATTGGACTATAGTCAGGAGAAGTGGGCGAATAAGATGCAGTCAAAGGAAATGTAGATCTTTTCGAGGGGTATGTGGGAGAACTCGGGCTACATGTTGTTGGGGAAGGCGGGCTGTGTATCAGACCGTAATCAGGTGACAAAGGGGAAGAAAAGCCCATCCTGTTAGCGTACGGCGAAAACCGACAGTCCACAGCTGGAGACAGCCTCATATAAGGGCTTAGCAAATAATCAGGCGACTTTAAGCCATCAAGATATGTAGAACGGGCTAGGGTCGTGCAGAAATCGAGCCCAAAATCTCCTTCTCCATAACTAGGCAAGGGAATTTCGACTGCCCGTTCCAAAATTCTATCGTTCAGGAACAGCCCGCAGCTGCCCGTCCCTACCGGCGCCAGTTGACCCAGCATGATGCTCTCAGACACTCCCCCGAGAAGATCCATCTCCCCATACACGGCTGCATCGAGCAGAATGTCGACCGTCTCCTCAAACGAGCACCTCATCATGGGGCCCGTCTCGTTTCGGTTGAAACCGTGGCGCGTGATGGCCGTCAGGTGGCCCCCGTGCGTCATGGTATCACACAAGATCGCCAGGTGGCGGTAGTTCACGTAGGACCCGTCGAAAGATATGACGGCCCGCAGCTCATCCAGCAGGGCCCTGCGCACGGCCTCGATCCCCAACACCTCAATAATCTCGACCAAGTGGTTGCTGCTCGTCCGCGTGGGATCCACATCTTCATGAGAGAATGCAGCCAGAAGGTTGACCCCCTCGGTGTCGAGCACCCACTCGCTCCCCACCACGAATCCCACGGCCCTCTCGAACCTGTTCACCTTGCAATTCTTCATGAACACCTTACTAATACCCGGCACGCCTCGGATTGCCATCTTCGTCAGGATGTTGCTCTCGATTTTCATCATGAACACATCGTCATCCTCGTGGGCCTCGTTATCCTCGTTGTTTGAAAGGCGCATGCGGAGGATGAGCTTCTCGGCATTGTCGTCGTTGAATATGCACGTGAGGTCGTCGCCAAACTCGAGGTTGATCTTTTCGGCAACGTCGGCCATGCTCAGCTTCTTGTCGACCATCATCTCCCGGTCCAGCTCGACCCGAAGCACCCAGGGGGAGACCCGGTCAAAGTCGACCTCCTCATCGGGCATCTCGTAATACGACCTCACGAACTCGGCGTCTTCTTCGATAACCGTGGTCGTGGGGTCCGGGTCGTACCACACCTCCGTGGCCCGGGTTACGCAGCTCAAGGTGGTGTACTCGAGGGCGCACTGTACATCCTTGGCTCGCTCCTTGGTTTTAGCGGCATCGGGCCTCAGGTAAACCGAGAGGGACGGGGTTCGTGTACTTTTGGCGACGTTTATGATTTCCCTCAGCCTGGGGACACCGAGGGTCACGTTCTTCGCGCTCACGCCGGCATAGTGGAACGTGTTGAGCGTCATCTGAGTGGCGGGCTCACCGATCGACTGAGCCGCGATGCACCCAATCATTTCCCCCGGGGAAACCAGAGACTGCATGAAACGGGATTCAACCTCGCCGAGGACCCACTCAAAGGCCTCGCGCGACAGCCTGTACTCTTTGAGCACCCTCTTGCTCGCCAATGCACTCCTGAGCAGTATATTAAAGAAAAGGGTCGCATTCTTTTGGGCTTCCATGCTTAGGTAATCGTCCCCGGCGACCACCTTCAACCTCTCCTCCAAATTGTCCACGGCCTCCACGATCTCCATAGGGTGCATGTCAGACATCGTCCGGAAGTCAACCCTAAACTTCTTCTGCGCGTTCAGAATGAGTCTTTTGATGTTGACCGGCAGCGGCCAGGAGCTGTCGCCGTTGGCGGCAATCTCTGTTCCCAGCTGCCACCTGTCAGCCTCGAGCCTTCTAAATTCAGCATCAAACACGCTTCTGACATCATGAATAAGTTTCAAGTCCTCGACGGCCTTGGGCAACATGTAGCTCGGGTTCCAGCTCGGATCATCAAACTCATACCGGTACATTTCGTTAAAATCAGACGTTTTCAGTTTTAAGGAATCCAACGGCTGTGATTCGATCCAGACGGCGTCCATTCCGTCTTCCCCGTACAGAAACTGGATCACATAACCCAACGAGTTCCTCACGGTCCCGTCGTATTTGACCACGATATCCTCCATGGCTTTGACCAGCCGCCTCTGGATGTAGCCCGTCTCGGAGGTCTTGACAGCCGTGTCTATCAGACCTTCCCGGCCGCCCATCGCGTGAAAGAAGAATTCCTGAGGGGTCAAACCCCTTAAGTACGAATTCTCCACAAAACCACGACTTTCGGGACCAAAATCGTCTTTTGTGAAGTGCGGCAGGGTACGGTCTGAGAACCCAAAAGGGATACGCTTGCCTTCCACATTCTGTTGGCCCACGCAGGCAGTCATCTGAGATATGTTGATGAAACTTCCCTTTGATCCGGCAGTGACCATGGCTTTAAGGTTGTTGCTTTCAGACAAGCTCCTCTGTGCACTACTCCCGGCGTCATCACGGGCTTTATTCAACACCTAAGGCACACAAGAAACTCATTAATAATAAGAATAAAACTTAACTATAATAATACTATATTAGATACTAACACTTACTAATAGTGATTGATAAATGGTACCTGGTTGACTCTGTTTTCGAAAGATTCCATCATTGTTCGACCAGGTTCAGCCTCCAGTTGCTTCTCCTGAGCAGCTCGAATAAGTTCTTTCACCTCATTTTTGGCATTCGAGATTGTTTCGTTGATCTTCTCCATAGTTGAAGCATCAGCTATGGTATCACCAATGCCGATGCTAAAGCCACTCTGTAAAAGCCAATAATTGACAAGCCACTGTACGTGCCCCAAGAATTTCCGGGCTGCATCCGGACCAACCTCCTCCCTGAATGCATTTATCATTTGTAAAATGACAGACATAAAGGACGAATATTTCGAACAAGCATTCAATAGCCTTCTAATATTCCCGCTTATTTAGTATATATTACCTGTAAAATAAAATCAGTCGATTCTTCATGTCCATGCAAAAACATTAATTGTTATAGTTCCAAACAGAGAGAGAGAGAGAGAGAGAGAGAGAGAGAGAGAGAGAGAGAGAGTACCAAATAACGTGTATAAGACTTCCTGTGGATGTCCCTAGCGTCTTCTTGCAAAGGGTGCCAGTAAGTAACTGCCCTTTCTCTATCCTGACTTGAGTGTCCCCGGGAGTTGCAAATCCCTTTTCACTTTCCTGATGCCAAGCTGAATATCTCAACAGGTTTATCTGTTTTGGTATGATCAAATTGAACACTTGTTTTCCGGTCCAAAGCGGACTCGGCTTCAAAATTGCTGGAGCGGGTACTTTTCCATCAAAATCCTCCCACCACATCAAAATGTTCATGAAAACATCCTGCACATGGGACGAAAAAGAAAAGACTAACTTATCTGGAAATTGATACAAGCAAGAAACAGATGATTTAATATAATAGTAGTAATAATATATATGTGTGTGTGTGTGTAACCTTCTCAATAAAAGTATCTCTCTTGGTAATCTTGCGGCATCCTAAAAGTGTGTCCTGGACGATACCCATCACGGGCCGGTTTGACTGAGGCGACACGATGCATTTGGGGACCATCATGAGCTCTGAGATCTCGGCACGGGCCTCGTGCGACTGAGGCACGTGCATGTTCATTTCATCCCCATCAAAATCGGCATTGTATGGCGAGGTCACAGACAAATTCAGGCGAAAGGTGGAGTGAGGCATGATTTTTATCCTGTGCCCCATTATGGACATTTTATGAAGGCTCGGCTGCCTATTTAACAGGACCAAATCCCCATCGTTCAAATGCCTCTCGACCTGCATAATGGATTCACCAAAATTAGCAACTATTTATAAAAGTTGAATAAGCAGCCATTCTCGCACATAAAAGCAAGCTGTTAGCACCTTATAACCGAACTCAAGGTGAACAGTATCTTTCTTTAAGAAACGGAGATCAAGCCTTTGGCCGTCGTCCCTAATTATGTATTTGGCGCCGGTTTGGCCAAGATCGGGACAAGGCCCGTTCTTCACAAGCTCTCTCAACCTGCTTTCAGGACCAAGTCGTTGTGAATAACCAAGAAAAAATTGTACACAAAGTTACATTTTTAAACAAGCAGAACTAGCAAACCTTTCGATATTATACGGAGTCACAGTTTCTGGATATGTAAGATTCAGGGCAATACTCCAAGGCACTCCAAGTTCATCTATATTGATGTTCGGATCAGGAGTGATCACCGTACGTGCCGAAAAATCTACCCTCTTGCCCATCAAGTTCCCTCTGATTCGACCTCCTTTTGCTTTGAGCCTGCTGCATATCGATTTAATCGGTCGGCCATCCCTTTGGGTAGCCTATAGAGCATATCACGCATGTTACATGTATGCATCTAAAAGCTAGAGATATTCTGCATAATAGGAGATAAAAGGAGACATTACCCTGGGTTGTCCCGGCAACTCATTATCAAAGTAAGTGGCAATGTGAAACTGCAGCAATTGTGCAAATTCAGATATAACGTGCGGGGCAGCCCCACTTTTCGCTTGCTTTCTCAAGTTTTCATTGTGCCGAATAATCATCGCCAGTTGATGAGTTAGATCGTCCTTCATTGCCCAAATTCAAGGATCATGAGTGACCTCATGAGGCAAATGATACAGCAGTATTTTTACTACTAACATACTTTTTCTTTTAGTATATAATAATTTACATAATCATATTACCTCGCTCCTAAAACTAGAAGAAGTGCCCATCATTACAGAAGGTCTAACGGCTGGCGGTGGTATCGGGAGAACCTGGAGAATCATCCAGTCCGGACGAGAATATTCCGGATCCAAACCCAATAACCGACAATCTTCGTCGGTTATTCTCGTCAAAATATTGAGAACCTGGAAAAGTGACGAAGCCCGAAAAGTCGTGTTAACACCAACCCGACCCACATTTCAAATTTGAAGAAAGTGAATTGTCACCATTACCTTCTCTGCCGAAAGCTGTTGCTTCCTCTCGACCGAATCCACTCTCTGCTCGGGCTTGTACTGCGCAGTCATCTTCATACCGTCGATGGAAATCTTAGGCTGTGGGGCACCACATCCACCTTTGGTCTTCTTCAAGTGTCCTTCAGAGTCGAGCTCGGGCTCGGACCCTGTTTCGCATGTAGACTTTTTTCGGCATTCGTCAACTATTTTTCTCAGCCGGCTTTTGGGATTCCTGATCTTCATTGCCTGCTTGAAGTTCACATTCTCCTGAAAATATGCAAATGCAGTTGTTATTTCCAAACACACTTCAAATCAGTAATTTCTTGAGCAGAGTACCAGATTTCTATATTTCTTCCCATTTTAAGCATCAAAGGCTGTTTAATAACACATTAACGACCACAAAATTTTCCCTCGTCCTGAACAGATTATGGTTCATTTGTTTTTAAGCCAATTGAGGCACCATTATCAGTACCTCATCGACCAAAATCCTGGAGCAATTGAAACAAACGCAGCGGAGGATTCTGAGCACGGACTTCATGAAGCCGATGTGGAACATGGGCTTCGCGAGCTCGAGGTGGCCAAAGTGGCCCGGGCAGTCGGCCACGCCGGCCATGCACGTCTCGCACCTCATCCGCCGGTCGACGGGCCCCAGCCGCGGATCGCTCAGGCCCGCGGGCTTCGGCTTACCTCTTTCGATGGTGTCACCGTGCTGTATACGCGCCACCGACATACCCCTCTGCAAGAAAAAACGAGGGCAAAAAGTTCCGCAGTTACCACAAGTGTACTCGGAAAAATAGCCCCAACATAAGTTCAAAATTAATGCGGCGGTGGGTTACAATTTGTTCGGGGCTGAGGATTCCGAATTGGACGGCTCGAATATCAGCGACCTCGGCCGTCGAGTGCGGGAAGCGCAAATCCATGGCGTTTTCAGGTTAGATCTAGGGTTTTTTACCCCTTCGTTACAGATTGATTATTATTAGATTTCTTTATCAAATTATTAGTTTTAGAATCCTTTTAGCGAATGAGAAAGGGGATTTTGATTTCTTCTGTCGTTTAATCTTCCTCTGTATGTATGTATGAGTTCTCGCAGGTCGGCGGCTATGGCGTCGAGAAGAGACACGAATTTTACCAATACTGGAAATTATGATGAAAAATTGGATGTTGGGGGTATTTTATAGTAGTTTGAGGCGGTTGGCCTGAGAAAAATTCACATGGGCCTGCGCAATTAGTTTTAATGGGCCGCTTTAAGAGTTTAAGGAATTAATGAGGCAGTTTTTGGGTTTTTATTTCATTATCAACACATTATTTCAATAATTCCACTCCGAGCAATCTAATATTCCTTGTTTGATTTGAACTAAAAATGGCTTTCTTCACAAGTTTCATAGCCGAAAACGTTCAAAGAAGCGAGATTTAAGCTTCACATCCAAGTTCTCCCTCAACCATGCACGCAAAGGAAGGCCAAAGAAAGCTTCTCTGTAGTTGCCGTAGACACAGAGTGAGTCAAAACAAGACGAATTAACCTGAAAAATAGATTAGATCGAATAAATATACTTTAATTTAATTAACAAAAATGACTTAAAGCCAATTCAATTGTACCTGTCAATTAAGTTGTACATTTTTGACTTATTTGTCTCAACTAATCTTCGACATAATTCAGAAATAGTCGATAAGTCATGAAATCTCTCATTAGTAATGACATCAAGCTCATAGTGGTTCAATAGTAATCTCAAGTGGAGCAAATCTTGAGCATCAAAATCAAGAGGATAGAAGCATTCGGAAAGACAATGAAAATGACCCCATTGAGCAATTTAAAACCTTCTTTCGGTTCCAAGGCACAACTAAGCTTAAGAAGTTCAACCGCTTCATCCTTGAATCTACTATTTATCTCTTCAATTTGAACATCTATTGCAGAGTTAAATACATCAAAATGATAATGATGCTCAACTGTGATTGAATCATTTTGACGGCGTGTAGCGCATTTATAGAGAGCTTCCATTTGATGCACCTCAATATCATACTTGACACAAACTTCCTCCACATTTTGAAGGTGAGTACCAAAACCTTCTTCTCTCAACGTTAGAAGTAACGCTTTAGTAGTTGAAATATTGTCCATTGCACTTAAAATTTCTAAAGACTGCCTCTTGTAATGCCCGACAAAGTAAATTTGTTTTTTCTATTATTTTTTGCATCAAGTATAATATGAATATGAAATCAAAAGACTTCATTGCAATCAAATAACTACTCGCTTCACCTCGAAAGGAATTAGAAGATTCTCCATCTACCATTTTCTCCAGCACGACGATAACAGAGCTATACATATCTATCATACTACAAAGTGAGTCGAAATTAAAACTCCACCTAGTTTTTCCTTGCCTGAGTAAATTCCCAATTTAATTACACCCTCTATCGGTATCACGCTGCCCAGTTGCTACTATATGTGCAATTTCATTTTTTGAGCAACATGAAAATCACAATGACGTTTGCGAGAGGCATTTATAAGATTACCGATAGCACTCAATTTTGAAAAAAATAACCTAATGGATACCTCTTTTTCCGCAGCTGCAACCAATACTAATTGAAGTCGATGCGCGAAACAGTGCACATAATATGCATTCGGACAATCCTTCAAGAATAGAGCCTGCAATCCATTCCACGAGTCATGCATGTTGCTAGCACCATCATAACCCTGTCCCTGCATATTGTGAACATGTAAATCACATCGATTTAGAGCATCCGATATTTCTTTCTTTAACATCACGACGGTTATATCAATGACATGAACAATAGAAAAAAAAAAGGTTCTCTTATAAAGCCATCAATGTCGAAAAACCTGAACACTATCGCTACCTGCTATTTGTTGGAATTATATCTCGCTTCATCCACTAAAATGCAGAACTTCGCAGTACCAACATCCTCATGAATTTTGGATCTCACTTGGTGAGCAAAATATTCAGAACATCTTTTTGAATTTCTGGAGAAGTATACTTCGCCTTTCTTGGAACATTCTCTAAGACTACGCCTCCAATACTATCATTCATTCTTCCCATGAACTTTATCATTTCGATAAATTTTCCACGATTAGTTGATAATGTAGATTCATCATGTCCTCTAAATGCACATGCTTGCAAAGTGAGCTATCTGATGCTTTTAATCAATGTTCTGAAAACAAAACCGGTCATCGAACCAGTGAAACTACCGGTTCAATGGTTCACTTGTCGGACTAGTGGTGAACCGGTTTAATTAATATATATTTTTTTATTTATTTTATATGTATTATATATAATTACATATATTTTTATCATTATTTTTATAGTGTATAATGACATTTCTCCGCATACAAAATAATTGTATATGTTTTTTATAACTAGTTTAATATGTATAATACACAATTGTACAATTTTATCATTATCATTATTTATTATGTAAAGTTTGTATTTATTTTGTAAATTCTAAATATGTAACAATAATATAATGCCTTTTAGTAAAAGTTTTCATTTTGTATTTTGAAAAAAGTTTGGACTTAAATATATCAGATTAAACATTTTGTACATTATATTAAAAAATGTGTTCATTGGACTTAAATATATCAGTTAAACATTTTGCACTTTAATGTTTCGTCCTGGTGAATTTTGAAAAAAAGATTGGACTTTGTTTACATATATTAAAAATGTGTTCATTGGGCTTTTGGCCCAGGCCCAAGCGTAAATACTAATGAAAAGTTTACATTACACAACAAAGAAGAAGTATAGAAAAACTGAAAAGTGGAAAAGCAACTTCCCACATCGAAAAAAGAACAGAACATTTTAGGTGCTTTTAGTGAAGTCTGAAGATGAATATCTGTGAAGAACTACAACCGTTGTGCCGCTGGAATCGGGACCAGTTCACCAATTTTACCGGTCAAACTAGACGGTTTTTGACTGGTTTTTGTGTTGCGCGGTTTAACATCTCAGACCGGCCCGGTATGAGGTCCCGTTCCCAGTCAAACCGGTCGACTCGGCCAGTCCAGTTCGGTTTTAATAACATTGATTTTATTAGTTGTTGTTAGCCGCAATCTATTCTTTTGTTTCTCCTCTAAAGTTTGTGCGTTGATTAGCTTATCGGCATGATGAGACACATTCTTCAAACAATCAATGGAGGCTGCAACATTATTATGTGATGAAGTAGAGCCTCCAATATGTTATAATAAGGAGCACCTGTCTCCGTAATTAACTCGCTTCTAATACTTGAAGCTCTCTGTAGTAAATGCTGGATTTCGAGCTTGATTATTTTCGAACAAAAAACACGGGAAGCAAAATGCAGCAGAAGGAGAGTACTCTAACCAAGTAAACCTCTGGAACCAATTGCTTTGAATCTCCAATTTTGAGCTTCGAATTTCGTCGGTGGCTATTCATTCTTGATAGGTTGATACTGTCATATAAGCTCGTCTTACTTCATCTCTTTGATCGACGGGACATTTCCATATTGAAGTACGCTATGCCGGATCACGTTCAAGAGAACTCATATCAATAGAAGCGGCAACATCATCATTAGAAGGACGATCTCTGCTTGTCGACGTATGCTCTTTTGGCTTAAAGAATGGCTTGATAGTTTTTCTTTTCTTCATTCTTTGACTCTCCATTATAATTAAAACCTATCAAGTCATTTCAATTTAGTCCACAACCTAATCTATAATTTTAAAAATTTTAGAGAAAATATTATTTTTTATATTTGTTTTTATACATATATTTTATAATAACAAAACAAATGCTAAATAAAAAATAATATAATACTAACATAATATAAAATAACAAATAATAAAATAATAATAAATATTTATAGTATAAATAAAAAAAAATTATTTCGATTAGTAAGGTTAATTCAATTAACCAATTGAATAAATTGATTATTTTATTTCGATTTTAGTTTAGATTTTCACATACAACAATCCATGCTGCAGAATGCACGCACATTAGTGACTAACATAATGCACAATAGTGATGGATTAAATGCACATTATTGTGTTCGTGAATGCACGTTAGCATACCAAAATAAGAATATTAAAATATTAACAATGTTTTATAATAGAGATAGTATATTATTCGATTATTTTGGTTGATTCAGTTAAACGATCAAATACACTAGTTCGGCTCGGGTCCAATTTAGTTGGGACAAAATATCGATAAGCTCAGACCGAATGACACAATTCTGAAACCCATAAAAGGTGTCAGAGCATGTCAGAAGCATTTGGCCATATCTTCTGCCTTATACAACAAACTAGAGTAGGTATCTCGACTAGGCAACACGTCGAGCGATACGAAACATGTCGAGCCAGACAGGATTCAATGGCTGAAGTTGCACAAGAACGACGATAACAAGTCGAGCAAAGCATCTCGAGGAGCATCTAGACACAAAATTTACTCTTAAGCTCGGGTCTGCTTAGAGTAAATCCGGTGGAGGACTAGATGATATAGCCATATTATGATTTATCGGTCTAAGTACCTGATATGGGATATTATATACTGGACCGGTTTATAGGGCTAATCAAAGGAGACCGACCGATTTGTGAAACGGTCTAGTAAGGATAAGGTCGAATGGTATAGTCGAGCAGGACCAAACACCGGCCATTAGAACATCGAGCAGATGACGGCGGTAAAGAAGAGCAGAGGTGGTCGACAGACACAAGTCAGCTGAGCACCTGGTCGAGAAAGGGCGATCGAGAAGACATAGACACACATAATTGGTAGAGCATCGGAGCACATGGGGGAATCTCCAGCACATGGGGAGAAGGACACGCGGCGCATTGTGAGTGGTCAACAGCCGTAACCGACTCTGACATTCTCTGACAAAGGCGACGCATTCTCTGACATCATAGATAGTGGGGGGCGCGCGACCGTACGGACCAGCAGAGGACAGTCAGACGAACGCACTCGCCTCGCGCGTG